GTAGAAACTGCCGTCGTGTTTTCTAAAACTGGTCACGTTTGCTTACGACTCTCACCAGCTGCGTGAAAAGGACTTATCTACTTATTTTAAAATCCCTTCTAAATGCATTTCTTTGCATATTTTTTATGGAGAGTTCCTCATTTTGTTTCTTCAATTCCTTCAGTATGGTGAAATGCTTACTGGTAAATTTCTGGTAATTTGATAATCATATAGGACAGATAAAGCTATGACTGCAATGCTGTCGGCAAAAAATTAATATTGAAATTACGCTTTAGCGTGAATAATTAACTTGAACACCGCACGTCTTTGAAATTTTGCATGTTTTCCGGCTTCTAAATTCATTTCTTGGCTTTATCTCGAATAATAATCAATAATAGTATATACCACACAAGTAAATAGTGCTTTTCGGACGCTCTGATTGGTTAACTCGGAGGTGATTAGCAAGTACTATTCACCTGCGAGCAGCCGGCGGGAGAGATTTTAAAATTTACGACCGCTTGTCAGACATAAAATAACGTTTTGGTCCGCTAATTATACTAAAACAATTATTCACCTCAGCGTCGGTGTCGGTGTCACCTCAGTGTCGATTTACCTCGCCGCTTCGCGACTCGGTAAATATCCACCACTATTGACCTCCACTTCGGTGAATAATTGTTAATTAAACGAATTTCTTTAAAATTCTTTTATTCGGCGAATTTTTGTTGAGAAATTAATGCTTTTTAAAGGAGGAGGTCAATCCAAAAAAACGTATATTTTTTTTGTCAACACTAATAAAAATCTTGCACCAACTTTAGCAACTCACCAAAGTTTCAGCCTCTAAAGTGCAGGTTTTTCTTATGAAATTCGTCTCCAAAGAAGCCCAAAATTCGAACATCGTTGCCGCCATTTTGAACAGTGCTCAGCAGCCAGGCCGCGTTTTCGTGACGTCAATCCGTCCAAGAGATTTTTTTCTAAATGGCCTCGAATGAGCCTTTTAACTACCACTCTGGGTTATGGCTGGTCTTGGCTAAATCTCTATGTTATGCTCACTCATGCTATATACATCTATATTGCTTTTATTAATCATAAAAGCATTGTAGGAGGCGGGTAGGATAACGTGTTCAAAAGATTTCTAGAAAAAAGGCAGAGATATTTTTGATATATTTAGAATTAGCATTCTATTTTGGGCTTCGAACGAAATCTTTATATTGGTTGTATGAAATTACTACGGAAAATTTTAGACCTAGTAAAAAATAGCAACTTTGTTATAGCTCACGTGTCGTTTGTTTTCAACTCTCTTGTTACTCTCACCCTCAGTGAATAATGAAGATACCCTGATTGTCCTCACTGATCAGTTCCTGACATGAATGTTTAATCACATTCCGCTTAGTCAGTGTCGATCCTTCCCCACAAATCTCTTGTTAACCATGTTTTCATGGTTACATGACATTTTCTACTAAATTGGAGGCTTAAACCCTTAAAAAAAGTTTGCGTTCAGTTGGTGGGCCTCGGAACGAAATCAAACATTTACTGCACACGCAAGCAGGCAAATTATGAAGTTTAAAACCCAACAATGAAGGACTCTGTTTTTACTTCACTTCCGTCAATGACAAATAAACGGGTTCATAGTGTCCGCTATATACCAAGTGTCAGTGGTGGATTTCGTTTCAATTTGTTTGTATTTTTTCCCGAGTCATATTTACTCATATGTTGACGGGAGTTTAACATGCAATCCTTAGTTAGGTTGAACTTTTTGACGGCACATTTGAATGTTTCACTCTTTGTCGTCAAGGAAAGTTAAGTCTTACACAAATGTTGATGAAGGAGACTCAGTGAGAGTCAACGCTCTGGAACACCTCTTTTCCAGCGCCATGTTTTTCTAAGCTCTAACCAGTTTTTTTTGACCGCTGCGCGCTCTGTATTAAAACACTGTGAAAACTACAGCAGTAACATCTTTTTGCCTTGTCAACTAGGAAACGCAGGAAACCCTTGCGCGTTCTCCTTCGTTAACTGACGTAAACAGTAACACGCAAATCTTTGAGACAGCTTTGTTTTAGAACAATATCTGCTGACTATTTGTCCGTGCACATCAAAGTCACGCCATAAAAAACTTCAGCCTGCAGAACAGGCGGATTAGCGGGGCAGAGAGCGAAACGCGATATACGAGCGCGGAGCGCGACCACGAGCGTGACCACGCGCGCGAAGCGCGCGCGACGCTTCGCGCTGGTAGTCGCGCTCTGCGCTCGGGTATCGCGTTTCGCTCTCTGTCCCGCTAATCCGCCTGTTCTGCAGGATTTTTTTCGTCTCGCGCTCCGCGCTCGCGTATCGCGGTTCGCTCTCTGCCCCGCTAACCGGCCTGTTCTGCAGGTTAGCAAAACTTTTGCTCAGTCTACCGCTATAAGGTTTCCCAAACATTGACTAACACAGGACACATTTCCAAACTAAAACCGCGACACTGGTGGTTACTATGTTGTCACACAAACTGATCTTTCAGTCTTGACAATGACATCATTCTTTGTCAAATTATAAGTATTTGATATCTGCATACTTATTGCATATCTTATTGCATATCTACTTAGTTCGCGCAGACCGGGTCAACCGTAGAAGCAATGCAGTCTCTACCCTATGTTCGTGTTGTCTAACCTTAGGCTACTCTTTCAAAAATTCTTTCGATGAATCAAGACTGTTTGTCGATCACGAACTGGTAAGTACATAACTTGTAACGGTTTGCATGCATTCCGTGAGTGATAACGTAAGATAAAGAGTTGACATTTGCGAAATGTTTATTATTGGTTTGCTGCATGCAAATCGCTTTCAGTCGAGTGTAATCTTTGTCAAAACATACCATCAGACTTGCAGTGCGTGGGGACTGATGTGCCTTCTCACATCCAAATGATCATCTTTTGGCTTCTAGTAGCTGACTAGTAAATCGATGAATTAATGCCGTGCAATAACAGAAAATACTGCTCCACAACACTGTTCGTTACCATACCGAAGTTATAGCCCGCTCAGTCAATTTCAGCTTTGGAGGGCTTTTGCCTTTTGAGTAAAGCTGTGAGATCTTACAGAGTCAGTCCCTAAAATAAATCTGGAACATGAAACAGAGTTCTGATATCGTTGCTTAGTGTCCGTTTATGCCCGCGTCAGAACGAATGTTAATACCGTATAACAATCGGCGTCGACAAAATCTGGACCGGACCGAACCAGATCACGGATCGGACCACGAATCGGACCACGGATCGGATCGCGGATCGGATCACGGACCGGATCACAGAAAAAATATTGAAAAAAAAATGAAAAAATTCAAATTCAAGATTCAAAATTTTGCTGAGCAAATTACGCTAGAGTGACTACTGTGAGCAGAACGTTTTATTTAATTCAGGTGTGATATTCCTTTAAGTTATCTGCAATAATAATATCAAAGGTAAACTGCCATAAAACGAGTCAGCATGGTCATAATAAGACGAACGTATAAATCGAAGGACAAAAAACTAAAAACACACTAAACAAATTAAACTCCTGATGGTGTCGAACAATTTCTGTTTTCGGAATAAGTCTATACTTTTATAAGATGTTAGTTTGGAATACAATATTTCCCACTGGAGTAAAACGAAATAAACCACTTGTATTTCAAAGAAATATAGCTGTTTTGCAAAAAAATCTAGGAATCGTTTTCACGTTTAGAGACATAACATCGATCGTCTGAACGATAAGGCAACCCGAGAATAAACAACATTTTAGGAGTTACGCCACGATATTTAGAGTCATTTTTAGGGTCGCAAAGAGTTACCTTTAAATAGAATAAAACCTGTGTTCTAAGGTGGAAAAACACTTAAGAGGCAAGAATAAATCAAAACGGAGTGACGATCTAAGGATGGCAAAGATTAGCAAGGATTGCAAACGACGAACTTCAAAAACTAGGCTAGTTTCTTCAAGATGCGCAAACCGTGACGTAGCTGCTTTGAAGCAAACTGTAACGCCAACTATAACGCTCGCATAGGACACGAAAATGTAGCCGAGAATTAGCTACTGTTACTAACAATGATTTCAAAAAAGAGCATGGGAGGTTCACGCAAGCTTCGAGCCAGCTAACGTTCAGAGGATATAACTTGCACCTTCGCTGTTCGCACAAAATATAACTACATCTGCTGTTCATTACAATTTACATTCGTCATAAATTAGGTGCTTATGTGGCTCTTTAAATGACCTCTTGTCATTCTCTGTAATTAACATGTCATTACTTGCGTCAAATTCGGGATTCGTGGCGGCAATGCATGCAGCACGTAGGTGGTAATGCGTGGGCCTGAAATGAACTTGTAGTTTCCCGTCCTTCACAAATGACTTATACTCATTAGTAGACTCAATTACATCATTTGGCGGATCAGGAATTTCGCCTGGGACTCGAATGATCCATTCGCAGCCGTAGCACTTAAAGGCCATAGTGTCCTTTAGCCATTTAAGTTTACACTTACGGGTTGCGGAGCTCTTCGGTTCTTCTTTCAACGGGACCTGCGCTTCATTATGTCACGCAGACTTTATTTTGGCTTGTCACGCAACATTTCTTATTTTCATTTAACGTATTTTAATTCTTCACTTTGATTTTTTATTTATTATTATCTTATAAACCATTTGAATTTTTTTTTTAAACTTTTCTTTTATGTGATCCGATCCGCGATCCGATCCGCGATCTGATCCGCGATCCGGTCCGTGATCCGATCCGTGATCCCGTCCGGACCAAGTCAGATTTTGTCGACGCCGTATAACAATGGCGCTAAAGTGAAGTTAATTTGTTTCATTTGCAAATATATTTTGCCGTTCACAAATGTTTGTCTATTACAATATTCGCTCCTTTCCTAGCGATGTTGATAAGGCTGATATAAGACTGGAATGAAATTTCAGTTCAGCTTAAATTCGGCGACAATTCATCATCTATCAAACAGTTACCACATTCAGCAATGATTTTTCACTTTTGTTTAGGCGACGATGCTTGCATTACGTCATTTAATTTATCATGGCGGAAATAAATTTTTGTTCAGCTTAAATTTCGGCGACAGTTCTTCATACAGTAAAACCTGTATTAATGACCCCATATTAAGCGGACACCCTCTATTAAGTAGGCACCAGCTTAAGTTCCAAAATTTTCCTCCCTCCCTGCATTCAGCGGACACCACGGTTAAGCGGAAGCGGACACCAATATTGAAGCCATTTTGTTGCACAAAACCTGCAATAAGCGGACACTTCAAGAGCTTTTTACTTTAAAGGTCCAGCTGAGACTCTTTTAACATTGTTCAGCGATGTCGTTTTAAAGCTAAGTGATTATTCCAGATTGATACATTGACTGACTGGACATTCTCCTTTGAGCAGTGTTTGATCTTACAGTGTGTTACACTGTGTTACAAAAGATTTAAGAATTAACTATTAGAACCTGTTTTGAGCGGATCCCTGTATTAAGCGGACACTAGTGAGGGCCCCAAGGGTTCCGCTAAATACAGGTTTCACTGTATGTCAGTTACCACATTCAGCAATGACTTTTCACCGCGAAAACTTAGCTTGCATTATGCCAGTAAATTTACCATGACGGAAATAGCTTGAATTGTTAAATAGCTGGGGTTTGGGTGATTCTAATGCGCACTCTTATTGGTTGATTTATGGTCACGCGGCAACAGCTAACATCGAGATTCTCCGGAAGACAAAATCTTGCTGTTTCCTTCGGGATCAGTAATTAAGTTTATAGTACAGTACGTTAAATGCTACAAAATGTAAGGTACAATAAACTACAGATCTAATAGGCCTTATCGCGGTTTTCGACGCCATCTTGACGGATAGGGAAAGCTGGCAGAAATTACAGTGTTTCACGGTATGGGTATCCGATGGCAAATAACTTTTTCCAAAATTGAACTTTACACAATTTGTGAATCGTAACGTTAAAATACCAGGTAGAAGATTGTATTCACCAAGTTTGAA